TAGAGGTCGTTGCCTCCCACTAGAGGTCGCCGCCTCCATGTAGAGGTCGTTGCCTCCCACTAGAGGTCGCCGCCTCCATGTAGAGGTCGCCGCCTCCCACTAGAGGTCGCTGCCTTCCCGTAGAGGTCGCCGCCTCCATGTAGAGGTCGCCGCCTCCCACTAGAGGTCGCCGCCTTCCCGTAGAGGTCGCTGCCTTCCCGTAGAGGTCGCCGCCTTCCCGTAGAGGTCGCCGCCTCCCACTAGAGGTCGCCGCCTCCATGTAGAGGTCGCCGCCTCCCACTAGAGGTCGCCGCCTTCCCGTAGAGGTCGCCGCCTCCATGTAGAGGTCGTTGCCTCCCCGTAGAGGTCGTTGCCTTGCCGTAGATGTTGGGAATATATGATAATCTAAACCACAAAGGATAGATGGAAGGAGCATTTGCATTTTGCTTCCGGATTAGGATGCTAATTTCATTCTAATTCCCAATATTATCCACACAGGAATTGCCATTCAGGTGCCTTCGGACACGCTCACCTTGGGCCAGAGCTCTGTCAATTTATGATTGAGGGGGGTCTGCTTTAGGGCGGTTTAGCTTAGAGCACGTGGGTCAATGAATTTAGGAGCATAAACGAATGGATGTGCAAACAATTTTTCTTTCATGTATAAAACAAGTGATCATATGTACTCGCAGCAGCTAAGATTCTTATTTCTGATTCCTTCAGTAGCTGGTGTAATAATCTGAACCGCAAAGTATAAATGAAAGGGGGATTTTGCTTCCGGATTAGTATGTGATTTCCATCACAAATTTCGTGTGGACATCACCTTTTGACTTGCCTGTATGAATGAAATCTTAAATGTGCCACTAAAAATACATCTCTGTTCAACTTCAGTTCATGGCTCAGTAACTTCAAGATCACCTTTACTTGTTCAGCAACATTACGAGTTTGCGCGTGGCAGTGTCGCACTGTTCACTCGGTGTGTTAAGGCTCGTCATCCCGATCTCCCACGGTGTGCACTTCTCTTCGTAGTGTCAGCAATCCAAGGTCGTGTCTCTCTACCTGCCGTTCCTGAGCATCATCCTGGAGAACGCTAACCGGTTAGTCATCCAGGTGGCGCCACCCAGCATCTCTTCCGCAACGCCGAGCCACAACGCCAGTATGGTGTCGCTGCCGAACGGCGAGGGTGCAGGGAGCCTGCAGGACCTCTCTCGCCTTAACTCCCCCGCCACGCCACAAAGGTAAGGCAATCGGCACACATCACAGGTGCGCTGCAAAGGTAAGGCGGTCGGTGCATATCACAGGTACGCTGCACTGACGAGATGCCTGTCGTCAGGGTGTGCTCTTGGCACAGATGTGGCTCATGTTACGCAGGAGCCACTCATGCCATGTCACTCATGTCTCATCATCACTCATGTCTCATCATCACTCATGTCTCATCATCACTCATGTCTCATCATCACTCATGTCTCATCATCACTCATGTCTCATCATCACTCATGTCTCATCATCA